CAGAGAATGCAGAGTGGGATAAATTTGTCCCTAGCATAACTAAACTTACTTCGATGGAGTTACAGCAAGGATGACTTTGGCTCAATGCACTACAACTGCCACAGAGTGTCACATGCTTTTAGCTGTGGTACAGACTACAACTGGACAAAGGGGTTCCTTCAAAATAACTGCCTATCCTCTTTTTTCTCAGTCAGAAACCTACTTACCTCAGTATGAGCTAAAGAACATGTCTTTACAATTCTTTTTAAAGATTGGATTGTATCATTCTTTGTAAATATTGTAGATATTTATTTTTATACATTTTAGATGCTGTGAAATGTTATAAAATGTATCATATAAAGAAATCTAAGTATTTGAAAGAAGGCTCAAACATCATTTATTTATATCCTCTTTCTATAAATGATTGACTCATGTACAAAGAATGCTTACTTATGCACTAGTGATATTAATTTGCACTTCTTTTCTGCAAATCCACTTGTAGTAAGTTCTATGTTTATTATGGAACTTTCACTTCAGACTGATTTGGGGAGAGTTCACGTTACTTTTCTAAGTACAGACCTGCTTCTAAGATGTGAATCCAAAGTGCTGAAAGTCACATATTTTCATAAGATTACACTTAAACAGCCTTTTATTTTTTTCAGATTTGAGTGCCTAAAAAGTAACCATTTAAATAAAACTTATGTGATGCTCAAAGGTGCTATAGGCTCAAATTTCCTGCTCAGGCCAATAGGAATAACAAGTGTCAGCACCTCTGAAGGACTGGACATTTTAACTTTGGTAGCTCATTTTAGTCCATAATGTGTAAGTGTTGCTCCAGAAGATCTCTGAAAATCTTTAACGTAGGAAACATTAGCTGTCTTTCATTTTTATGACTTCTCTCTCAACTGCCATTTAATACTAAAGATACAATCAATTTACAAATCTATATATCTATTTATGGGATAATCTCTCTGGCCTGGAGCTTCCCACTATGTATTGTATTTTTCTCCTTAAAGGATGAACATGGTGCATCAGTGGAGACTTAGTCTTCTAGAAGAATGTGGTCTATTGGTTAGAAAAAGTCTAATTATCAGAACCTGAGATACAAGTTCCCTGTGGCACTATTCTTGCATTTCAGTCCAGATTTTTCAAAAGAATAGGTAAGATGAGAGGGAGGATGTTTTTATTAAAAAGGGTTTGGTGTAGGAAGAAGAGAGTCTCATGTATTCAAATATTTCTATAAAGCCAATTATTAATCGAGCAGGTGTTATTTGATTACCTTTTGTAAATATTTTTTCTAAAAATCTTTTACCTAATGTCATGCAATGTGTTATCTATCATGGCAACTATAGTTTTATGGAGTGCTATGTCACTTTATGCTTTAGCCTTTCCCAACAGCTGTTTTACTTGACATTGTTGCAATTCCTCCTAGTTTACATTGGTGTTAAGTGAGAGAAAGGGATTTGCATTCATTTGGATATTAAAGTTTTCTATTTAAAGAGAAAATGGAGAATACTCTTTTTTTAATTAAAAAAGAATAAAGAAAAATATCTAAATGGAAAGAATGTTTAAATATCAAATAAAATAATAGGATTTTCAATATTCCTATGTGTAAGCTTCATTTTTAAGTATAGATATTATATCAATATTATTTTAAGAAATTATTTTGCTTCATCTCTTCTAAGAAAAATAAAATGTAAATAACTGTGGGAAGCACAGCAGGATTTGATTTCATAGCTATTGCAATTCCTTTGCCATAAGAAGGCTATTTTTGTTCTTCAACCATGGCAAATACAGAATTGTTAAAGAGTGTTGACCAAGATATATATTTTTTCTATATAATTTGAAATGATTGAACAAACACCTGCTGAATTAAAACATTACAGATATGGGAAAATGGAATTTTAAAAATCCTCTAAGCTTTTCTTTTGTTTAGTTATAAGCAAATAAATAGTAATAAAGTTAAGAACTAGTATAGCAACCCAGCTGCAAAATAATTATCAATAATCATTTATTTGAAACATAAAGTATCTCAGTCCATGGCTGAAAAATGTCTGTTATGCCCAAATTTGGGAAAGCTATATTTTTATTTCAGAAAATGTAAAATGTAATTTTTAGATTATCCTTGAATAAAGACAACGTAGAAAGCAAAGGTTATTTAAGAAAACTTGGAGAGCATAAGAGGGGAGAATATATACTTTTCAAACATAGAAGGTCATGGGTCAGTGTGGAAGGCCAGCAAAATTTCTATGCCTTGCCAGGTGTGTTTCCCAGATCCCTGTGAGAAAAACAGAGGAAAAGGGTTCAGTATTCCTACCTGGGCCAGCAAAGAAAGAACTAAAATATCGATGTTAGTGATGCTCATGGACAAATCCTAATTGGCATCTTTCTAAAGAGGAGGTGAATACCATCTGCTGACACAATTTGTATTCTTTTTGCTGCTACCTTAATGCCAGGGGGATAAATTGTGTTAGCTGACTTCGTTCTGAGGCAACAACATCACTAAAGGTCAATGGCAGTTTTTGGAGGTGTTCTGTGCTGTGTTAGAAGGGGAGCTTCTGGCCTTAATTTTGTCTTTGTAAGAGAAAGCATATCTTGGTTCTCTTTTTTATCCTTTCTTATTTTCACCTAGATGTCCAGAATTAAAGTGTTGCAACAGTTCTAGGAATTTCTTTTAACCACAACTTTAACTTAGCAGTACTTTTTGTGTGGAAAAGATAAATAAAATATGAGACATTCATTAGCAAATGATTCTGGGTTTTCTCTGGACAATTTCTATTGAGTAAACAGCATATCTTTCAGACACAAATTATACAATCAGATGTTATATCAGATTTGAAATTCTAAGGATAGCTAGAGAGCATTAACTAATGTTTGCCAGAGACTGTGGCCATCAAGCTAAATATTGGTGAAATATGGTTATCAAGATAAATATCTGGTTATTTTTATGAAAAGATTTTTCATTCAAAAATAAATACTTTTTTATGAAAATATTCCTATGCTTTTATTTCTTTAGTTTTACAAAAGTCAAGAAATACCCTTTTTTAATTAAAATAATCACAGGGAGAAATAAACCCAACAGTGAGCAGTAGCCGGCAATGGAGATAGAAATAGCTGTGAGAAGAGAGTGTATAATGAATGAACATTTCTTATACAGCATATAGATACTGAATGTTATCTAAAATCTGAGCCATCACTGGGCTTTGCTACCTCTAGTTGCTTTGTTATTCTAATATTTCCACTATTGAAATGGAGATACATGGAGAAACGGAGTTCTCATGCCATTGTTTCTGCTTGTCCACAGCGGCATTAAACATAGGGTTTAAATCACAGCGTATTTGTTCCTGCAGATATAAGTTCTTGTGCCACCATCATTCTGGTGCTTTGCCTCTCAACATATTTCACAGTCTTGAAGGTCTGATATTCTCACCTGTTTCTCCTTTACTGTTGTCACTGTAGTGATAAGCTTGTGCCTTGCAGTCACAATGAATGCAAGATAATATCTCCCTGTCTCCACCTCCAAAACCACAATGTTTTTCTTTTTCTTCTGGACTAAATAGAGAGAACCATCTCATTCTCTGATTTTAGCAAAACTGATATGTGTTATTAACCTGGAGAGTGTTTTAGAGGATGGAGAATACACCAAACATTTCTTTAAGTCAGACCTCACTCAATGACGTATCACAACCTACTGCTGCATATTACAATGGTTCAAGGCAAAGGCAAATTTAGCTTTCCAGCCTAGAATTTTTCTCACAGCTAAAATTACATTAATCTGTCAAGCCATTGTTTCTACTTGACAATTAGGTTTTCCTGTGGCTGTTGGATATATTGGGTGAAGTAATATATTATTTATTGAGCAATTAAAAAGCCACAAACAAATATTTAGTAATTTTGTCATTAAGAGCTTACACAAATAATGCAAAAAATAAGAGCTTACACAAATAATGTTAAAAAACTAGCTAAATATCTCTGTAAAATAGAATAAAAAGAGAAATTACAGGCAAGATCGATTTTTCCTGAGCTAAGAAAAATAACCGAAATCTGGACTTTTGGTCAAGTTTTGCTTTGTCAGTAGGGACAGGATTTCAACCACTATATCTGTCTGTCTGATAGCTGAGCTGAAAATTTTATGACATCTTTTTGTTTAGGCATTTAAGGACCAAATACAGTTAAATATTTGTGAAAATAAGATTCATGAATAGCATGGGGAAATCAGTAGGGATCTGTTGCTTCCTCCTTCTTCCACTGCAAAAGCAAAGCACACACACACTGGAGCAGCAGGTGTATGATTGCATCCTTTATGGTTGACTGCTTCATTGTTAAGTACCAAGTCAGCTGCTGACTTGTATGGCAAACTGGTTTTTGAGGTATTTCAGTGAAACACCTGAGGTTACACTCATAGTCCAGTCGGGGACTAGACTATAGATTAATTATTTGTCCTCCTGGTCTGCCATCCAACGTATTCCAAAGGTCTTCTCTCTCCTTAACCAATCAAGATTGTATTCCACACCTGAGATGAAAACAAATTCACTTCTAAAACGGGTTGAAAAGTGCTTACAGAAGGTGATAGGACATAGCAACAGGGATTTTTCAAGGAGATTATAGGCAGCAGCCAAAGACCTGCTCCTGTTAGTTTCTCTTCGGATCAAATGAGAACTAAGTGCGCAGAGAGTGCCAGATCCCGTGGAAGATGCCGAAAAACTCCTGCGTGTCATCTGGACGCGGTCGGGCTCAGCGTTTGTGGCGAGAGAAGAAATGTAAGCAGAGGGTGTGACGAGGCCGCTCCCGGAGGTGGGAAGCTCCATTCCCTGCCCCTGGCCGCAGGAGGTGGGCAGAGGCAGAGGCACGGCGGCTGTCAGCGCTGCCCCCGCCCGTGCCGCGCTCGGAGCCGCCCGGAGCGGCGGGCGGGGCCGGCGGGCGCTGTCCCCCGGCCGGTGCTGAAGAGGCGGCCCCGCTCCGGTACCTGCGGCCCCGCTCCGGTACCTGCGGCCCCGCCGGGCGGCAGCGGCAGCGCCGCCATGGCCGCGCTCCTCGGCCCCGGTAAGTGCGGCGGGCGGGCGGGCGGGCAGCTCGGGACCCACGCCTCGCCCCGCGGCCCCTGTTGTCCCTTCCCTCCGCACGGCTCCTTGTCCCGCGGTCTCCAGGCGGGAGCGGGGCCCGGCGGTTGGCGGCGGCAGCTCGGCCCCACGGCGGGGGAGCCCCGGAGCGCTCGGCGGCGGGGCTGGGGCAGGGCGGCGGGAAGGAGCGCAGCGGCGGGGACAGCCCGGCGGGGACAGTCGGACTGAATGGACAGCGGCTGGTTCGCTGCCTGGGGAGCGCTGGGCTAATACAGGGCTGCCGACACTTCCTTTGGGTTTGAGTGGAGAAAAAGGGGAAATCAACAAAGCTGGTACAGAAAGATTTGGTACAGGAGAATATGATGAGACAAGTATGTTGTATGTTAATTTTTGTTATTCTCCTTTTCTCCTCACTATATACTGTATACATGCTGCTTCTTTTTAACACCCACTACTCTAAACTTATATTTCTGTGTTAAAAGTATTCCTTAGGTAGTTCTGCCCCAGGTTTTGTTAAAATAAAGTTGACTTTTATCACTTTTCGAGTATATTCAAAGTATATTCAGCTGTAGTTTGCCATTTTGCCTTCAGAGCTTGTTATCCCACTCCTCTTGCCATTGGATAGAAACCACAGTTTGGTTTCCCAATATTAATTATTACTTATTTGCATTATTTTAGGATTGCTGAATTGGAAAGTGTAGTTCCTCCATTCCTCAGTTCCCAATCTGCAAAATGAAGGTGCTAAAATGTTTCTTTTTCTCCCTCCTTTTAACTTTAGGCACCAAATTCTACAGAAAACAGAACTGTTACACCTACCTAGTGAATAAATAGACCTTTGCATAAAAATACAAAATAAATCTGTAAATACTTAAATGTGTGTCTTCTTGTCAATACGGATCCCTCCGAAACTTGTAGCTGCAAACTAACTCTTAGATACCCTCAACTCTTCTATGCAGAATCATGCAGTATTCCAAATACTAGAGTAAATAAGCAGAGAACAACTAAAGTAATATCTGTCAGTTTAAGGAACTGCATAAGCTACAGTGCCCTGGACTCTAAAATAACATAGGATAGTTTGTTTCATGTAGGTTTCTGGCAGTGTACCCCACTCTGTACTCCTGAGGAATCAAAGACTCATCCATAATATATCATTACACCTAAAGAAGCCCTTCAGCTGAAATGCCTTAAATCACAGATTATGCTACTCACCTCTTTATTTTGCAAAAACATCACCTCCTATTTTGGGGCCACTTTCCAAGTAGGTTCAAAATGAGCAGCAGTGTGAAATAATCCCGAAAAAGCAGCAGGAAGGCTGTGCAATCAGTCCTCTTTTGACTGTCTCAGCCACTGGTCCTTGAAAACTGAACATGAGGAAGAGAGCACAGAGACTTTGTGCTGTGAATCCTAGTCAGATGAGTAAATTTTCTCTTGTGTAAGAACCTAAAAAATAGATAAATGGTCATCCAGCAAAATACCTTTTCTTAATAAATCTGTGGGTTTATAATTTTGTTTTGTTTTATATATGCAGTCATTTTGCCCTGTAAAGTATTTGGAAACTTTTTTTTTTCTGTCATCTGAATAAATAGTGAGTAATTTCAAAATAAGTTAGACATTTTGGAGACAGTCCTAGGACTAAAATGTTGTCATAATAAGCCATAATTGTCCCTATGGATGGGCCAGCTGCACATTCCTCAAGGTCAGGATGTAGGAGCTGTTCCTATCAATATGTCTTCAAGGCTGATGGACAGACACAGCCTAGGAGTGTTTCAGGCTGGAAATCACCACCAGTCCTGCACGGATCTGAGAACTGCCAGGAATATGCACAACTGAGGAAGGATTAGCACCAGCTATAATAAGCACATGTAGCCTCTGTTGTCTCATAGGCACACTAGATGCTGTTGCACCTGTCAATTATTATGTATTAAATGTTGCTTCATTTTTGTTGACGTGCATCTGAAAATTGTTCCCTACAGCAGCATTATTATATCACTGGTAAATAATTTCCAGAAGGGATGGCATCACCTCTAAACAGTAGTGGCTCTTCAAGGCTATCAAGAGGGATATTTTATATATAATTTTTTATTCTAAAATGTATAATTGAAAAAAGTTAATTTCTTCTGATAGGGTCTGAACAAATCCTGAAGCAATATTTCATGCCTCTTGCAAATGGTGTTTAAGGGATTAAACAATGCTGGAATCCACTTAAATTCCACATGAACTTACCTGAACATGAGGTGGGGGGAAAAAGAGTTATTTTGTCAGAGAGATGCTGTGTTCTTCAACAACTAAAGAAAGCACATCAGGTGTTCAGCAGGTAGTTTGATAAGGCCTGAAATCAGTGACTGAAACTTAATTTTATTGAAAATAAAGCACATGATTACAAATTAGAGGTTGTCTTACCACGGGAATGTTAATGAAAGAGCTAAACTCCAGCTGATCCTTTCTTAACAAGGCAATTTAATTTTCTACTGATAAGTCACAGGCAGTGCTGCTTCAAAATTTTTTACCTTGAAACCTCCAGGACTTTTTTATGTAATTAGCAGGCTCAATGCACTCAGGAAAGCAGATTAATACATATATATGAGGGTTGCTTTCAAGAAGTGATGCATCTGTGAAGTAAAAATAAAGAGGGTGAAGAGTACTGTATTTATAAAATAAAATCACATTTATTATCTAATAGTTGTGTAGTTGTCACATCTCTTTCACACACTCTATTCATAAGAATTCCTAAACAGCTTAGCTTGGTGAGATTTCATGTGAATAAAGTACTGTTTCTTCTGAATTTTATACTGTCTTCCTTTCTGTAATTTATTATGGATCTCAGAACTGCATGAATTTCTATATATCCATGCACTGATGTCATATATAACTATGGTTACTGTTATAATACTGGGGTAAAACCAATGCAAAATATGCCACACTGAAACTTTGAACATTTAAATTTAATTTTCCAGTTGGAAAACGGAGGAAAAGCTTTGTTCTGCTAAAATTTAATTTGATGGCAAATTTGAATATATAGAAAAACTATAGTAAATGTATTTTTAAAATCTGTGTTTAAAGGAAAAGGGTCAGTACAGTGTCTACTTCTTTAAATAGTCATTATATTCTGTTTTTACAGTGTTGTTCATTTACTTCACATGTATATCTACTGTCCAGACTACTGACTGTCTGCACTTGAGGGAGCAATGTATTAATGCTGGAAATGGATGTGAGAGAGTCTGGAATGTGGTTGAAGATGTCTGCAATATTTCAGGTAATTCTGTATGGTGTACACACCTTAATTTTGAATTGCTATATGCAATTGCATATTCATACTTTATTACAATATTGCTGGAGTAACTAAATTAAGTCAGTAAGATTTCAAAGAGAAACATTACGGCAAAAGACCATCAGTTTTTGAAATCCTTTACAATGGCCAATGCTATTTTTAGTGACAGTCACACTATCTCTTCAAGAAAGTGACAAATGAATTTTCTGTACTATGAATAAAGCCAGAGCCTGAATCAACACAAGAAATCTGAATTCAGCAGAAATTAGGCTCTTGTGGGATCCTGCTAAATAAAGCTTGTGTGCAACTGGAAAAGAAATTCCAATTTGTTTTACCCAGTTGGGAGGAGTTGATCTGCCCCCTCCCTGGCAGTGTTCAAGGCCAGGTTGGATGGGGCTTTGAGGAACCTGTTCTAGTGGAAGACGACCCTGCCAGTGGCAGAGGGGTTGAAGACCCGTTCCAATCTAAACATTCTATGGTTCTCTAATCTAACACAAAACCCAAAACAATGTAGTAGCTAGTTAGAGTAATTTTAATTATTGTACTAGAATAAGAAACAGATAAAACATTCACCTCTACTGTGAGCTACCTGAATGAATGCCTCTGTCTGTCTGATCTGTTGCATGCATTTGATGTCCCAAATGTCCCATGTCACAAGACAATATTTAAAATAATCAGAGTAGAAAATTCTCTTAGGGGTCTTTCTTATTGTGTCCTTTTCCAGATACTCATCTACTTTGCATAGAATGGCTGAATACTTTTAAAAACAGATGAAGTAAATGAAAAGTACAGGGTAATATAACAGTTAGAAGAGTTCCCAAAGCAGCTAGGCTTCAGCCTACGTTCTATTGATCTGTTGAATATTTCATGTGAAATGAAACAGTTTCAAAAGATATGGCTGCTGTTTAGAAAAAAAAAAAAGAAATGGAATAGGCAGTACTTTCTGGCTCGAGTGCCCTAAAGATGAGCTCTCTAGAACCAAAACAGAACAAGCTGAGTTTGTTTCTCTCACATCACTCACAAACACATTAGCACCAGGACTACTTGCCACAAAGATATACATTTGTGCTGTAGCCTGTTAATCTTGATACCCTGCAGCCTGCAGATGAAGTGGGCCAGCGTGATTACTTCTGTGGATGTACAACATTGCCCCATAATATGATATTTCTCTCTCTTACTGTCCTATGTACTTATTCACTGATATTAATGACATTTGTAACTGGGCCAGAGAAACCTTCCAGAAATAATCATTCTTGTGATTGCTTGTTTGGATTTGCATCTGTACGTTTCCTTAGGATAATAGCTTTTGGCAAGGACTCTCCAGCATTGCAGAGCACTCAGATATTGTGTTGGGTCTAGGACAAATTATACTAAATGTGCTCATTAGGTGCCATGATCCCAGGGCATGTAAATCCAGTCAGACAGCTGATGGTACCTCTCAGACAGCCCACAGAAACAGTGACAGACTACCTACCAGCAGCATCATTAGTAAGAATAACATTATTCTGTCATGTGCAAGACTAGAAACTTCACAAACTTTCCTGTAGGAACAGAAAATGTCCTTTGAGCAAAAGCATGTTTCTTGGAGGCAGTAGACAATGGGGTAAATATTTGTTTTGTTAGCTTCTTTATGCAAAACATAACTACAAATTATAATTAAATTCCTTTGAGGTAGAAGTTAAATAACTCAGTCCATCAGACTGTAACCTCAAAGTTAAACGTGTTATAATTGGAGATCTATCCAAACTGTGGTCTCACCAGTGCTAGAGAGGAAAACCTCACACTTTCCCCTCTAGTCTTCAAATTCAATTCCCACTGAGATGACTGAAGAGCTGATTAAGCAAAAGCAGAGATTATCGCTCTGGGAGTGTCAGCTTCTAATCTGTCATGCTTCTGTCTGTGGTCCTGTGTACATGAATTATGTACCTATAAATAAATCAAATTATGCATAATGGCTGCCAAATATTAGGTTGAGAGAGCATTTATTTTTGTAAATGCCTTAGAAGCATATGTATAAGATAAAATATATTACCTAGAACTAATCCCTGGTAAAACAACAATAATTGAAAACCAGTAATAAAATATTTTCTGCTGTTCATCACAGCTGAATCAATACCATGTACAAACAGAGCAATACTGATAATAGGTTATTTCTACACAGTTTTCAAGAAGTCATGCAAGGGAGCCCCATAAATCTGATGTGCTTCCTGCCTCTGTCTGTGCCCTTTGCATGTTGGTAGCCCCACAGCCTCTCCCCCAGCCCCAGCCATCGGGTGCTGACTCAGCACAGTGAGATCGCAGAGCAGGGGGCCACTGAACACAGCCCCTGACTCCCGGCCACCACTCGTCAGTGTCATGAAGAGAGGTGAGCTGAGTGAGGCTGGGGTGCTGTGCAAAATATACTGGGGTATGGGGGTTTATTCTTCTAGCTCTACTCACCTTCACCCTTGAAGTCTACTCTGGACCTTGAAAAAGACAGTCATAAATTTTGTGAACAAGCTAATTTTTACACAAGCCCCTCCTGGTGTTTATTGCTCTCTTTCTACTGGAATATATTTTCCTGAAATTATTTTATTGTCCCTTACTTAGTTGATAAAATACAGAGTAGAATATCCACACACTCATCTTCATGGGCCATGTCACCACATCCTTTCCATCCCATTTTTATGGTCAGGGAGTATCCTGTGTCTGTTATCTTCAATAAATCTCCTGAGTTCCTTGACTTCTGGAACTGTGAGAGCTAAGGATCAAGGGTCATGATCTACTTCTGAAAAATCAGAAAGACAGTTGAAGATGGGGTTGGAGGTACAGGCAATCCTAGCCACCATCATCTCCTTCTTTGCTGAAGCAAGAGGTGGAGTGGGAGCAGAGGCTGGGACCTGCAGCTCTTGCTGGCCTGGGACATTCCCCTCTAGTAATTATTTGATATATCCCCCAAACCCTCCTTAGTCAATAACTGGAGAAAGGGCAATGCAGAGATGTTAGGAAAAAGGGGATCAGGACAGGGATGTGAAGTCAGGAATAGCTGATTCTCATTACTTCAGGCAGTGGCAAAATGCACTGTTTCCTCCTACAGAGTTTTGCCTCCACTGCCTTCCGCTGCTATTTGTGTCAACAGCATATAAGTGACTTTAAAACTCTGCTCACATCCAAGCTTACCCATGGTGCTGGTGACACAGGACTTCTTTGCAGTTTTACTGAGTGCAGAGTCTTTGCTCTCCACACCTGTGGGGAAGCAGCAAGGCAGGAAGCAAGCAGCACCATTTGCAGGGCAGAGACATCAGCCTGTGTGCTCAGTAGACTGAAACCAATCCTCGTGCTGCCCTGTGACCTGGCTGGATCTCATGAACCACATACTGCTTCTCTTCCATATTGGGAGACATTAAATATCTATGAGGTAAAGAGAGGAAATGTGCTGGTTTGGGGATCTACATTTTGGGGATCTGTTTTGACAAGGCAGATCACGGCTTTCACAGAAAAAAACCTATCTAAATTAAATTAAATTGTAAATAAATTCACTTGTAACATTCTTAAGTAATGTGTAACTTTGTTAAGCAATAATAAATCATAGAATCATAACAATGTTAAGGGTTGAAGGGACCATAGAGACCATCTAATCCCAACTTCCCCTGCCATGGGCAGGGACATCTCCCACTAGACCAGGTTGCTCAAGGCCTTATCAACCTGGCTTTGAGCATTGCCAGGGATGGGGCCTTTACAGCCTCTCTGGGCAGCCTCTTCTGATGTCTCATCATCCTCACAGTAAAAAATTTCTTCCTAAAATCTAACCTAAATTTCTCTTCTTTCAGTTTGTGCCCATTACTCCTTGTCCTGTCACTATAGTTCCTGAACAAGAGTCCCTCTCTGGCTTCCCTTAGGCCCCTTCAGATAATGGAAGGTTGTTGGGAGGTCTCCACACAACTTTCTCTTCTCCAGGCTGAACTTTCTCAGCCTGTCCTTGTAGGGGAAGAGCTCCAGTCCTGTTATCAACTTCCTGGCCTTTGTCTGGACTTGCTCCCACAGTTCCATGTCCTTATGCTGGGAACACCAGAGCTGGATGCAGCACTCCAGGTGGGGTCTCCTGAGAGCAGAGTAGAGGTGTAGAATCACCTCCTTCCACCTGCTGGCCATGCTGCTTTTGATGCAGCCCAGGGAATGTGTGGCTTTGAGTGAGCACTCGCTGCCGGCTCACGACGGGCTTTTCATCAGCCTTTGCACCCAAGTCTTATTCTGCAGAGCTGCTCTCAATCCCTTCTCTGCCCAGCCTGCAGGTGTGTCTGGGATTGCCATGACCCAGGTGCAGGACCTTGCACTTTGCTTCATTGAACATCATAAGGTTTGCATTGGCCCACTTCTCAAGCCTGCCAGGGTCCCTCCAGGGGCATCCCTTCCCTCCAACGTGCCAACTGCACCACACAGGTTGGTGTCATCAGCAAATTTGCTGAGGATGCACTCAATCCCACTATCATCATAATAATAATATTTTTGAAAAGCTTTTAGGTAATAAAGGGTTGATTGATTTACCTTTGTACCACAAACTAGTGCATGCTCTTTATTTCCACCACACATACATGGAAAATATGACCTGACATCCTGTGTGAGTGTCTTTACCATTGAGTCCAAGTGCACATGCAAGCAGACTTGAAACTGGGCCAGCAAACTAAAGTTTCTGCACATTTTTTTTTATGTTAACTTCTCCCTCATTTTTATTCTAAAAATCCTAAAAATCAGGCTATTCTTGGGCTACTTTAAATTTGTTGTCATTCTTAAACTTAGGCAGTGAAGTTGTTCTGTGGGGTAGGAGTACAAGAGAATATCATTTGTAGGCCTGCACCATCCTCACATGCGAGAGAATCTGACCCAGAGCAAGCATCTCCTCAGCTGGGGTTCTCATCCCCATTATCATGGGGCTGGATCTGCCCTCTGTATCCTGCCTCTCACTCCATCACACAGCGATGCCTCAAGCCTGCACTGTGTATTCCTGTCCCTGGCACCTCATTTCTACTACACAGGACCAAAATAAGTCTCTCAGTTCAGGGTATGTCCCTTCCACTCCTAGGCACCTTTTTAGCTTGCTCTCAGTGACTTACCTGCCTAAAATAAGGAGAGCAGATTTTCAGGCAATGGATTAGATCAAATAAAAGAAGTAAATATTGTATCCACGGCTTTATTATAATACTTAGAATATTATTTAAAATTTGTAAAATATGACAAACCATCTTCCCTTGGCAAAGCATATTATTTTTGTTCTTCAATTGAATTGTTTTATGTAACCATATCCCTTAAGCATTCATAAGCATTAATGAAATTATAATTTTAATGGTGAGTTCTAGGTAATAGATGCAAGGCAGAAGACACTGTTGGATGTAATAGAATAATCCAGGTCCTGGCTGACGAATACCCAGAATTTAGAAACTGTGTCTGCACTACAGATGATATCTGTAGCATCACAACTTTGCTTGGGAAACTGTGCAGCATTAATAAAGGTAACTGAACATAAAGCTGGAATTATGAAGACCAAACCCAGTAATTTTAAGTAGATTCAACTTTCTTTGCATATTCTAAAGTCTAACAAATGCCCCCAAAAAATTAATCTTGTCTTTTCAGTGATATTCATGCTCCAGCATGCATATGAATCACAAACCAAGCAGTAAAATTCATGTGAGAAATTCAAATGGCTTCTAAAACTCTTGTTGAATCCACTGGAAAGCAAGAGTGAATACACAGTGTGTGTTGAGGCTTACTCAATGTCCAGGGAAATTTGAGAGCCACTGCATCTAGGTTGTGTATATAGACACATTCAGTAACTTCTGAATGGGAGGATGAGTGAATGATGACACAGGGGTGCAGTTGTGTCACACTGTGCTGCAGGAGGATCTTCACTACACCTAGGAGAGGCTACTGGATGTGTGAAACACAGTCACCTGCATAAAGCTGTACATAATATATAGAGTGCATCTTTTAAAAATTCTATCGTACTCAATGGGCCGAGCTCCCCTCAATTTATTTTGATTTTTCTGAGAACTCTTCTCCCTGCAGAAAGTCTATCTCTGTAATTGAGAATTGCTTAGTACATGAAGAAGTTGCAGTTTCTGGTCCAAAGTCTCCTGGCATAATAATTAGCAAAGCTGACACAAGAGAGATAAAATCAGCCAGTGAATGAGAGTCTGCAAAGTGAGTTTCAAAGTGATTCCTGGCACTGATCCATCACACCCTACTGGCATCACACAGCATTCATCACAGTACTAGACTGGACATTCTATAGTACTAGAATATAGCCTTATCGTAGAGGGAATAATAACATCCTGATCTGCCCCAAACTCCTTGCCTCAAACAAGAAGGATGGATATCTGAAACCTAATGTTGATGACATTGGAACAGTTGCTTTTGCTTCTAGCAAAATAGCATAATGTTATATTTTTTTGCCAATTGAGATTACATCTCTCACCACTATAGAAACAAGTTTGGATGGACTTACAGTAGTGTTGAGTTTACCTACAAGGGACAGCATATGGTGTTGCTAGGCACTTTCAGGAGTAATTCTCCCTGTCTAACTTAAATTGCTATTTTAGGTAATGAATCAACCATCTTCTGGAATTGTCATTCTCTCTTTAAAAATTATGCATAAGCTTAAGATGATAATCCATGATATGTCCAAGCTGTAGGTGGTTAAAATTACGTGCAATTAAACTCTTTATGCTGTAATTTTAGTGAGGATTTTTTACTACTGTTTTGCAGCTGACCTGTTAGAGTGGACTGTGCTATACCGCTAACAGCACACAGTAAACATGAGGAAGATTCATTAGTTTGTAAGACTGGAATTATGATGTGTTTACACACAGCTCAGAATTAAGCTGGGGCTGTTTCACTCACTGTAACGCATTAAGACAAGTACCCTTTTCCTGAGTTTTTGTGCTGTGATGATGATCCATCATCCATTCAATTTATAACTCTGTTTGTACCTATTTCTGCAGACTATTTGGAGTATCCCTCAAGGTCAGCCACTGAACTGGGTGTCAGGCAACCCAGGAACCGCGAAGACGGTGGGCGCTCTGCGGAGCCGGAGAGCTGCAGCCTGGCGAAGCGGCGCTGCCGGGAGGAGCCTCGCTGCTCTGCCGTGCACAGGAGCTTCCAGCGGGCCTGCCAGGCAGCTGCAGACACCTGCAGCTTCCCCGGGCCTGCAAAGTGCTCCTTAGCCTGGAGAGAGCTGAGGAAAACGGCTCTGGGAAGGTGCACGTGCTCAGAGCCGCTTCAGACGAGATGCGTTAAAATCTGGGAGGGAATATTTAACAACCCCTGTTTACAGTACTCTCAGGAGAGCCAAGCCTCAGGAGCTAGTGAAAATGATGGCAGTGATGATGACTATAATGCTGATATTGATGGTGAGAAAAATCTGGTCACTGACACAAGTTAGTGCTCTCCCAGCAGCCTGAATGCTTTCATACATAGCAGTAGTGTCCACAGTCTACGAAAAAGGTTTTTTTGTCCATTTGCAATTCAACATTGGAAACATGATCATTTTAGGAGGTTTATTTATAAATAAATTCAGAATCTGATACAAACTGGTAGCTTGAGTGCAAATACTGTTGTTCTTCAATGTGTTAATTTGATACAACCTGTTCTAAATCAGTCAGTTTCAGTTTTTCACTATAACTAGAAGCAGTATAAGACCAACAAAAATAATTTACTAATAGCAAGAATTGTCTGCTAGCCTTGACTATAGCTCATGACAAGCAGTTAGTTGAACTTGAAAACTGGTCCACTGATAAACATATTAAGACTCCTGGCTTTTATGTATTCATAAGAAATCTGACTTTATAATGAACTGAAAAGCTCTAAAAAACTCTTCTTGAGTCCACATGATCTTTAATTATGTAAAAACTGCTATGAGCAGCCTTTGATAAACTGTGCTTTGACCCCAAAACTTATGAATATATGTAATAGTGAATTTAAAATTTGTTAGTGGGTTCTATTTGGTCAAAAGAATTTGTTTTATTCTTGTTTATTTTTATTCCTGGCACTATGCTTGCAAGACAGCCAATACTTTAAAGTTAAAAAGCTAAGATGTTATTTGCAATTTATGCCTGTACCTGTATCTTTTTCTTATAGACAATATTAGTATGGAAACAAAATTACAGTGGGGTTTATCTGCTCTCTCCAAACAAGGTAAGTCTGAATTTACTTATGAATCCTAATAAATAATTTTAGGTCAATTTTCAGACAGTGTACAACATACCTTCAGATTAAAATTAATGCTTTTCATTGAAATGGATGAGCAGGGTGCTAACAGACCCAATATATCTTCAGTTGAGGTACAGGGTAGAGTACCTGTTACAAAAATGTAACAGGTAACAGTCAAGTAATGTAAATGGAAATCAGGTAACAATTATGATTCTGTCAAACTTACAGAGGCAAATCTTATCCTGTAAACATTTTAGGGGCTAGAATTTTCTAGAAATCTTTGGAAGGTTTATTTCACAGTCTTGAAATACCTAAACTGATGTTAAAAGCACAAAAATGCCATATATAGTCTCTTCTTCATTACTTATTACTTAGCCTAGCTGTGGCATTCACATTCTCTGACCATGATTCCTTCATCCAGAGTTTTTCTGCTGGGAAGCTGAAAGGCAGTGAGGCCGCAGAGAAAAGAAAAACAATTCTTACCTCATTTGCTTTTCCTGTGTTGTGCTAATGTGGAATGAATTTGGAGATTGTTTACCCAAGGTCATCACATGACTGGGCTCCGGTGTGAGTTGTTTTGACTCATTGGCCAGTTGGGGCCAAGCTGTGTCAGGAGTCTGGAGAGACTCATGAGTTTTCATTATTATCTTTTTAGCATTCAGTAAGTACCTTTTCTGTATTCTTTAGTTTAGTATAGTATTCTTTAATATAATAGAGTACAATAAAGTAACAAATTAGCCTTCTGGTAAGACGGAGTCCTCATCATCATTCCTGCCTTCATTGGTGGCCCTGCATTTACAATACCCAGCATAAGACTGCACACCTGGGGATTTCAGATGTTTCAGGAGGGTTGCTTGAGAGCAGGGCAAGAAAGAAGTATTAAGTTACTCAATAGGCTTAAAAGAAGCAAAAAAGAAGGAAGAGCTGGATCAAAGTTTTGGGAATCAAGCTTTATTTACTGGAATTATGTAGACAGGACACCTACCAGTCATCACCTGAGAAAAATTTTCTTGAGATTTTATTTTTAAAACTGTTATTCATTTTAGTGCACACAACAAACAGGAGCTGTTTGGATGTGAACAGGGAGTGTGTTGAAGATGAAGTGTGTAACAAACAGTTGTCCCTGTACCTAAAAGTTTGCTCAGTAAATAAGAAGTGCAGCATGGAAGGATGTCAAGCAGCCATAAGGTTCTTCTATCGAAACATGCCTTTAGAAGTTGCCCAAATGATGATATTTTGTGACTGCATCCAACATGATGAATCCTGCCACAGAGCCAAAGAACTTCTCCATGGCAAGCCCTGTGCAGTTACTGTAGTTCCACCCCCATCATGTCTGAATGTAATCCAGATGTGTGAAGAGAATGAATTGTGCAGGTGAGTAGAAGTATTTTTCCCACTAAAGTGCTTTTTAGTAATGGTTCTGTCAAACCGTCTTTATTATACTCTATATATCCCAGCTATAACAAAATTATTTTCTGCAGTGTATCTGCTGTGTTTGACATCTTCACAGATGTTTGGATCAACTGTGGTAATTCCAGAAGTAATTCCACAAGTAAACTGAAATTATTAATTTTCAGAAAGGTTTGGAATCTAATGTGGGCTTGTCTTCTGCCTGTATCATGACACTTAACACCATTTCTGCTGGACAAACTATGCTATTGCATATTTTCATTACCCCTTTCTTCAGAAAACACCTGCCTGTCTGCACCTTTGCCCTCCAGCAATTTGCCCAAGTTGTGCAGCAGACCAGACAGAATTTGTTTGGTAAAAGTAATTACCTTTCAAGGGCAGAGTCTGACCCTTTGTACCTGACAGCCATGCAACCAGCTTGGCCTGTTCAAAAATCTTTTATCTTATTCTCTTCTTCTCAAGAATACTCGCAAAAAGCTTTCAAAAATCTGGCCTGAAACGTGCACAGACCACCAAACTCATGAAGGATAATGCCTTTTCAAAGTTTCATTTTATATTTTTAAAACAGGATTACCCATATTTGTATTCAACCTATTTGCCTCCTTTTATGGACAGTCAATTGGCCCACTTTGTTTTTCAGTGTGGTCACCTTGTGGATTAGAGTTGAATTTTACCTCAAAGTTGTGCTCAAATTAACCTTCAGTCAATAAACCAGGAGGCCAAGAGATGGTTTTGGTTTTGTGCAGATTATTCAGATTGATATAGTGAGAACAGCCAAAGGGCTGTAAATGTATGTCTGTACATCTATAGACATGTAATGTCATTATGGCTGAATTCCCCATCATTTTGGGAACATTAATGTTTCCTGGCACTGACAATAAATGCATATAATTAGCAAAATTAGTCTGTGAATTATGGCTAGTCACATCCATAAATCAGGAGGTGAATGAAAATAATTCCATTAGAACAGAGGTGGCATCTGCTTTGAGATCTTTTATTGTGTAATAAAAATATTGACAAAAATTTTTTAGCCAGTATTGCAACAGTCCATGCTTTTCCATGTGACATGCTTGTGGCTACTACACAATATCAACAGCAAATTAAAAACATATATAACACATATTATGTTATAACATAATAACATATATCAATATTTTAATAACTGCATGTACAATATACTAGACTTTACCTTTATCATCCCCTAAAATTTAATATGATAGATTTGTTTTTAACTATTACCTACATATTTTTTAGTTAATATATAATGGATATTTTCTATTGTCATATACAGTGCATTAAAGGCCAATTTTATTCCATCCTAACAGGATTTATTCCAGCAATAAATGGAAATAATTTGAGATTACTGAACTGGGTTACAAGTTAGTTCTTCGTGTCATTTTCTCTACTATCAATTTATCTTTAAGTTCACTGAATTGTACTTTTTCCTGAGGCTTTAACATTTTGTATTGTGTTAACAGCTGGGGAGCCAAGGGGTTGACATTGGATGTAGATTATTTAATGCAAAATAAGTTGAATGTTTATTCCTCCTTCACACTGCTCAAAAATGGAACCACTACAACAGCACCTGGTGTGGTTTCATTGGGATAACCAGTCTAATTCCTGTATTCACATTTCTTCTCTGAGTATCTGAGGCTTCTATAATTCACACTGTATTTTCTGGACTCTGGGAAGCAGGCGCTGATTAGAAGTGCAGTTGCTTTTTCTCAAAATCAGAGCAGAATTTATGTCAGCTATCACTGAACATTGCAATTTTTAAGGCTTAAGTGGTACCTTGGAAATGCACTCCCTTTAGTAGCGTTCATTAAATGTCCTTTTTATGAAATAACATTTGCTAAAGTGCCATTGTACACTTCTTTGTTTTCCTTTTTTTTTTTTTTTTTTTTTTTTCCCTACCAGGAAAAAATACACAACTTTTCGGTCAAAGTGTTGGAGACATGTGACAAAAAAATGTTATAATGACGAAGCCTGTCTTGAAACTTTGCTCAAGGATGACATGCCCTGTTCTGCCACCGCTGACTGCAGAGCAGCCTACGTCAGCAACTGGGGCACGATGCTGCACACCGAGTGCATCTGCCAAAATCTGCCTCCCATGGAGCAGCCTTTGTGTGAGCTCTTCCACCACATGCTGCACAGCAAATCCTGCTTCAGTGACTTACGTGAGTAACACCTACAACTTTACAGAATAATTAGTTTTAAAGAGAATTAAAACCCTAATTTACATCAAGTCTTTGCTATATCTTTGCTACCACTGGTTTCAGCAAGATCTGTAGCTGTGGGTTTTTTAAAACACAAATCAAAACAAAAATTCAGTAAAAACACTGGGTGTAATTGAAATGAAATATAGGTACTTTCTGAGATCCAGTAATGACTTTCGTGTTAAATATACATGTCCTTGCCAAGCCTTGGGTTTAGAGAATTGTTAATGCAATAAATGGAAATATAGGAACAAATATTAATGTTTTAGTCTGAATCTGCAAAGTGCTTTCAAAGCAAAGCTCCTCTTTATCCCCACATATTGTGTCTGGGTCACATCACAGGGTGGTTCTCTATCATAGGGTGATTCCTGGTCTCCCACAGTATAAACTGAACCTGAAGGTTCATCTGCAGCCTCTGCAGTGCTTCAGCTGCATGCAGACATCTGGTCCATCAACCAGATCAAAGACCTAAGTATTCTCTTCTCAAATCTCTGATTTATCACACCAACTATTTTACAATATAGATCCTCTTAGGATATATTTCTCTCTAGGGCATCATGCCCTGTGCCAGCTATCTTCTACATGTATACTCCAAAATTATATACATTCTTAAACTAACTCAGGAGAGGTAATGATACCTAAAGATTTCAATGAAAAGAAATGGTTCTTTCATAGTTTTACCTGATGGACAGTGTTTTGAAAACATCTATGGATTGCGTGCATGCATTTCATTGAATGAAGTAGCTACTCTTTTAGTTCTAGAAACCAAAATGGTACCACTGATAAGGGTGGCTTTTTTTTTGTGTCGCTCAAAGGCTACCCAAAAATTAAAATCAAGTTGCTGAAACATTGTTTTTAGTTCAGTTAATCATTACTCAAATCCAGACTCTGAGAAAATACTAAAAATCTTACAACTCCCCCTGGAAAAGTGATAATGTAACACACTTAGATTTGAGACTTCTAGCAGTGATTTTGCTGATGAATATTATTTACTTGCTTGCTTTAGGGCTGAATTTCACAGTCCAAATGAGTGAGCACATCATCATGTTAGTTATTTCTTAACCTACAAAGCAAAAAAATTATTCTCATGTCTGAATAATCAAATAATTGCTGACAAGCTTTTGCCATTCCCCGAAGCAGTCTCAGGATAAAATGGTTTGAGGGTTTTTGTGATTGAAACTTCCCTAACCTAATTGGGACTGAAGAATGGAAGCTTATGTTTCTTGTGTTGTGCAACAATTTCCTGGAAGTTAAACAAAAGAATTTGGGGATCCAGAGCCTTTGGTGGACCAGTACCAACGCTACAGACTACTTCCAGCTTATTTTTGTTCTTGCCTTTTTATTTTTTTTTTCTAGATGTCTAGTTGTGATGCAGCTAAACTGATGGTGGTGATGATTATAGGTTTTATTATAAAGCATGTTTTTAATGCCATTCTCTGCATGGCAGTACTGAAATGTGAAGTGACCACTGTGCCGTGCCCACCCAACCCCACGTGCTGACTTATTCCTCTGGCCTGGGGGTGATCTTTGGCTCACTTTCAGTCTTACAATGGCAATGATCTGTAACTCTGAAACATTTCTGGACAGGCAAATACCCAGGGTTTGAGAAGAGGATCTTTGCCTCTAGAACTGGTGTGAACAGACCCACGAGTGGTATTGACACCATCTCATCTTCCCACCCTTGCATGGCACTGCCTTTGCTACAAGTGTTTGCTCTCAAGGCTGTGCTCACAGGACCGCATTTTCTTCAGGCTCAGTAAAAGGCAAGAATTGTGACTGACTGCTGCTGTGTGAAGCAGAAGCACAGGGTGGATCATTGCCAATGTAGGATCAGTGTCTCAACAGGAATAAGAAAATATGTCAGTGAGGGAAAGAAAAAAATTAGGTTTCCAAAATATTTTAAGTCTGGGTTGTACTTTTGGATCTCACAGAAAAAAAACCAAATTACAGGTAGGTTTAGTCCATTGTTATTTGGACAGTGTTCCAGGCTGCAAATGTGTGCCTTTCTTGTATTACAAAAATTTCTCAGCTTGCTGCTCCTGTGAGTGAGCAGATGTATACTTGTATGTTTTAGCCTTCTACTCTGTAAACTATACTACTTAAATAAACCTCCTATTTTTCATTTCAACCAGAGATGTCTTTTCAGATATGTTCATGAAATTATGCCCACTGAGAGGACAGGCCTTCCTGAAAAAATTTGTTGAGGTCTAGCAACACAGCTGGAGAATAAACTCTGCCTTGTGGAAATTACTTCAGACTGCTACCCCCTTCTCACCACTTCTGTATTGGTTGGGTGGACCCAATTCTTTTAGTGGGCCTATTTTTAAAACAGTTTATGTGAAAAGAGAATTTAAGCTCTTTTGTGGCAGAGAATATTTTCAAAACATGCTTGTCATCCATAAGAAAAACTGAGCTGGAACAGGAAGAACTATTATGAACTCATTCAATTTGTTCATCAAATATCAGTAAACAGTATTTTTAAATAGCTCCCTTTTAAAATGATGTGGCTGTTAGCAAAATATCAAAGAATATTCACTTACATATTATCTAAAAGTCATATTTTAAATGGACATTTTCTTTCCAATATCCAGGTCAAATTTCTATTCAAAAGAAGGGTTTTCACTGGGTAAATACAGAAATGCCAGAGGAAAAGATTTCTGGAGCACAGCTCCATTCTTCTGCAATTAATGGTGAGTTTGGGCAAGTCACTCTTTCCACAGCACTGCTCTCCATGGGTGGGTTCAGGCAAGTGAGCTCGACCTGTTGCTCCTTCATTTGGTCTGGAAATCTCCCTACCTGTTTAGCTTATATATCCACAAAATAATCAGACTGAACCAATTACTCTGACAAATGGTTTTGAAATAGATGTCTCACAGTCACTGTATTATAATTGGAGGAAATTAAGCTATTAAGCCTGCCAGAGCCTGACTCTGTACAGTCATTAGAGAGTAGTAGTCATAATGTGTAACACAAATTATTATCTTTGATGTCACACCTACTTCTATCTCTCTTGACTTTCTGTAGTAGTTACAGCAACAAAATCAGAAGCCACAGTAAGTGGTCTGAGGAGGGGCTTGTGTTACCCTCCATCAGACTCTACCTTCTTCCACAACAGGAGGGCACACAGTATCCCATGGGCTGAAAAGCTGCAACTTTTATTTCCTTTCATTTATTTTATTAGAGCTGCTGCTTTTATTTCCATGCATTTACAGTAAGAAATTAAACAACATAAAGCTAAAGGATATTGAATTAATATACAAATGTTTTCATTGCTGAAATAATATTATTTTGTATTTCCTTTTGACGGGCCCAATTACGGAGGGAGAACTCTAAAGAGCTTAATGCACAAATATCACCTCTAATGAGAATGACCTGTTCTACCTTGTGCAGGGCAGATTGCAATTCTCCAGACTAATACTACAAATTAGTTCCCAGAACTGTTCCTACAGAACATTTTTGACTGTGAAAAAAAATAATTCAATCTCCGCATGCAGTAGAAAATGAAGTGACTTCTAACCTCTCCATCGTTCAAGTGTTGCTGAAGCGGGCAACGTGGATAGGGGATATAAAGAACATAAAAATGGATGAAGGGAATGGGATTCCTGAGACCTGTGTGTGCATAATTAAGCATTTGGTTGTAGCATTAGCATTAAAGTTACTTAAGAATCATGCATGTCATCCAAGTGCTCTGTGTTGCCAGAGAAGAAAGTCAGGGACCCTCAAAGAGTAGTCCAATCTTTTTGGACTGCATTTGCTGAGTATTGACTTCTCCTTGCCAGTTGCAGAGGGAGCCTGAATCCCTAGCTGGAACGAGACTCCAGAGGTTAAATAGTGCAAGTCATGATACAAGAAATACTGCACTAAGTGAGAAAATGCAAAATGTGAGATATTGCACCCCTGTGACTAGTTCTAACTGCAGACCCTTTCAGTGGGTAAAATGCATTTTACATTTCACCCAGAGATTCAGATAAATATTTGTAAGAAGCAGCCTGCACCCAGTTAATTCTGTTCACATTGGAGAATGAATACTTTCCAAAAACCTTTCCTTGAAGTCTTAACAGAACTTTGGATAGCTTTAGAAAAATAAAAAATGCTGACCAGCCTAAACCATATAGTAAAATATTCTTTCTATTGTAGCTGTCATGTACGTGAGATGGGAACTTTAAGCCATAAAAGTCTCATAGGAAGACAGGTCAAGAAGAAGAATTTGATTCAGGATATCTGCCTGATGGTAAAAACCATACTGCAAATTGTTTCATAAATCCCACTGCCAAAAATCTAACTCAGTGTCCTAGATTCAAATACTAATAAATGTGCATTACTCAGGCTGCAAAGGGAATTATTATCTTTACAAAATATTTATCTTTAATGAAATAAAATCCCAAAAAGAATTGAGGGCGCAGAGGCAAAACAATTAAGTTGTCAAATATGGCCTTTCATGTGTGTGAAGGTTTTCAAAGACATTTGCTTCTTGGCTATTTTCTGCTTGAAAAACAAGAGATAAAATCTGCTGATGTCTCCACATAAAAAATCTCAGAAGAGTCCTTTACTAAGTTTGTCATTGAAAGATACAAGGAGCTCTTCCACCAGATGAAAGGAATGGCCATCTACAGATAAACATGCTCAGAAGAAACTCAGTATGTCTTCAGCTTTTTCTTAGGTTTATACTTTAAAATATAGCTTACTGTTCAAAAAACCAGTTAGATTTCTCTATTTAATTCAGCAGCATTGCAAATCATCCCATTGGATAAGATTGTTTTAATAGAAGGAGTCTTTTACAATAAGTAAGAAATCTAAGCATATATACATATGTTCAAATATATTTGTAAATTTATAGAACCATGGAAGTTGAAAAATTATTATTCCAGGTTTGGTGTAAAAATGTGATACCAGGATTATGTGAAAATCTTGGCTGTATTTAAACACATTCACATTCTCGGGAGGGAGCAGGTCAACAGAGTCATCTTTGGGCTGGTGCAACTGTGTTAGCAAGATGTGATGTGGGCAGAGTCAGAACCATATAAAAGTTAATGAGACTTTTCCTGTAAGCCTGAATTTGATCTCATTTTGGAAACAATATCAAAAAGTTATAAATCAAATAAAATTTCCCTAAACTTCTAATGTGCCTACCTAATTATGCATCTTTAACCTGGTTTTGGGTTTTTCCTATGCAAATGACATCAATGACTTTACAGATCCAAATAATTTAAAAGATTACTTCCTGCACTTTGGTTTGAAAAGTGTTTCATGTGGGAAGATAAGGATTTATTTTCATCACCATGGAGCTTTGAGTCTAAGTTGTGTGTTTATGGAAGAGGAAGCTAGAAATACAGAACACTTACCCTGTTCTTGTGAGATACAATAAAATTGGACTTGATCCAAAACTGTTGAAATTTCATCTTAAATTGTAGTGTTATCATATATTTCCTACTGAGGAGTAGAGTATTTAGATAAACAAGTAATTGGCAGGGTTTATCTGTAAGTATACCAGCTGCTGTGGGAACTGAGATTAGTGCAGCTCCAGTGACTTTAATGTGTAAGGTATCAAACATTGTCAGGCTGACAGTTTTATAAATGTAGGAAAAAGCTTCCCATGACAAGCTACAGGTAGCCAAGAAACCTCTGAGCAGAGGCTGGTGTCAATCTGTTCGATGAATATGCACTAGCTGTACCTAAGCAGGTGGATCCACAATAGAGTAAGATTTACCAAAATCCCTCTTTGTTCCTGATAGAATGGAATCAACATCTCTTTTACCAGCAATTCATCAAAAACATAGCATTTTTTCAGATTTTGTAAAAAAAATAGAAAAAAAAATAAGTTGGTCACTTTGGTGTTTTGTTTGATTGAAATGAAGCACCTTTTACAAATTTTATAAGGAAAAGATCACAATGTTTTGTTGAAAATTTATTAACCCTTTTTTTAGCCATTACGACTGTACAATATATAATCTGTTAGACATAATAATTTTTGTGGTGACATATTTTAAAGTTTCAGTTTGCCTAAAATATGTGTGAAAGTCACTTTCCACTTCAAAAAAGTAAGAAACTCTTGCCCCACAACTGCTCCTACACTTATAAAAAGTTTTCAAAAATAGCTGCATGTACAATTCAGACTCAGAAACTGAACAAAAGGCCTACAAATTACTCTTTTTCTAAAACCCATCATCTTAAACAAGTGCTGTAACTCGAGAGCTAGGCCAGTTGCTGATGTAGTTTTTAATGTGCATTATTAACAGTCCTAAGGTACGACTAAGATAGACCTCACCCCTCTTTCTTCAAAAATTCACCATATTAAGTATCTTCCAGTAGGTTACTGGATTAAATGGAATGTTCTCTCCCTTTGTGCAAATTGTGTCAGTTTGATCACTGCTTTCATTTCCTTACATTGGAAAACTTGAACTTGGGGTAGTTTTTTGAGAAAAAGTGAGCACAATCCTACAATGACTGTCCAACACCCTGCTCAGCTCCTTGTTTTCCTTGCTGTGGAAAACACATTCACTCTCTCTTCCCAGGCTGCTCCAGCATCCATACCACCTGTGCTTGGATTATATGATACACTACTCCTGCTGCATGTATGCAGTGCACACAGAAATGCCCCATTTAGGGTTTGTGTGTGAACATATAACTGATAATTTATTCAGAGACCCAAATATGGCTTTCTCACAGCCCAGATAAGAGGTTCAGTGCTGAGTCCAGGATCCATCCCTTCCTTAGTGAATGTTTCCCTGGCTATGTAGGACAGAGAAGCTCAGGAACAGCATTTGGGCCCTCTGCATTTGAATTCCCCTGTAAACAAAACTTACCTGAGTGTACAAAGACAACAGAATCAGTGCAACAGGAAAGTCACAGAAAGGTCTTATGTTTTTTGCTTGTGGCTCTGCAGTTGTGGCCACTTGTCACACCTCTCCATCCTGTGTCCAGGGCTTATGCTGCACTCCCAACTGAAATGTTTCCTTCAGATATTTGATCAAAACCAATGGATTCATTACGTCAGGGAAAAAAGAGATACTCTTCCTTTGGAAAATAAAATTTGTAACAGCCCCCAGTTTTTCAACAGTTGGAATTTTTAGCACATAAGCCACCTAAGTGACTTTTTGGTGAGAAGCCTAACAGAAAAAGGAAACTCCGTGGGAATGGGGCCCAGAAAAATGGTGTTAGATCCCATTTTAGGTTAATTTGATTCTAGGTGGAGTATTGCTCCACACTGTAATTACAGTAATATGTGAAAAAGAAAAATAAGTCTAGTTGATAAGTAAAAGCCAAGTCTGCTCTGATACACAAAATAAAATTAATATTTTAAAATCAAAATGGAGAATATTCCAAAATAAAAATCATAGTAACAAACTGTTCCCCTGCAGCAGAGTGAAAGATACTGCTATACATGTGAAGTGCTATTGGAGCTGGTATTTATGAAAAGAACTCTGAAAATTGCATTGGATCAAATGGCAAAGGTAGAGTTATTCCTACCACTGACATACATCTAGGTCTTTTCCCTCCTTTTAATTACTTTTGTCAAAATTGATAGCTTATTATTTATTTCACATATGTATGATTTCCAATACAGATCTCAAATCTGATTCTTATTACTAAGAAAGCAAATTTTTCATTTCTGTTTTCTGTTTTTATTTTTAGGTGAAACTATCTACATTATTGCTTACTCCTCCTGCATAGCTCTCATCCTAGGAATAGTCCTGTTGACTCTCCTAAAGATCAGGTAATTTGATAGGGATATTTATCACTGGTTCTAGGAAATTAAAAAAACAGAAAATAAAATGTTTTGACTTGGTTAAAAGGCAGACATTAGTGATTGTCTTTAAAAACAGTCCAGCGTGCCCCAGTGATGGAAAGAACTGACATTGCGGGTGTCAGCAGGGAAGAGTGAAATATGATATGTATCTACAATGCCCTCCATTCATGCAGAGATCCCAGGCTTTGGGAGCTTTCATTTCCTGTCCCATGGCAGGGGAAGGTGAAATCTGAATTCAAAAATTCTGTGAGACTACATTCCTAGCCCCATAGCAGGCAGGGGTAATGCAAAAAGGAAATGAGAATATTCAGCATTATAACATATTTTGAAACCAAATTGTGAATGCTGCTATTGTAGCTAATATTCTTGCCAAATGCCATTTTTGCTCACAGGAGTCTGTAAACAACTCCCACCATCCCTGCCATCCTTTCCTTTTCTCCCCTCTCTTGTTCCCTCCCTCCCTCCCTCCCTCCCTCCGTATGAGAAACTGCCCATACACCAATGCTTGGTAAGAAAACAGAAATGTGCATTCACTTAGTTAAATGAACATGGCCTTTTCTTAAATGATACATTTTCTTGGACCAAATTAAATGGCCAGATTTCAGGAATTACACTGTCAGATGATAGGTAACAGAACATGATGTAGCAGGAGCTATGTATAGTGGGAGGGATATTGAGTCAAATTTCATTATTAAATTCCAAGGCAGATCAAAGAGGAATTGTAGAAAAATGCAAAAGGCAAGTCAAGGATATATGGGAACAGAGGTTTTCTCTTTAGGTTTGCAGTTACAGGAATATCAGCATATAAAGAAAATTCAGATTTAAAGAATACAGAAAATGGAAGAAAGAACAATGCATTAATAACAATGAATGGGATTATTTTATGCCACAATTTTCATCATAAAAAGAGAAGAATTTTGCCACTGATTTCAATTAAGCCAAAGTTCAAACCAAAAGCTGTACAGTTTATTGTTAAATACATGCACATTCTTTGTTTTCAGAGCCTGCAGAACAAAATATGAGTCAAGAAGTCCCTCGCCAGACCATTCTTCTGAAACATTTATGGCCCATTATAAAAGTCACAGATGAACTACTCTGTTGCTTATGCTTTTTAAGGCTATTCCTGAAAGCCAGCCTGTTATACATATGTGATAATAAAATATATATTAGAAAAACTATTACAAATTATGAAATTTTGTAGTTAAACATACAAAATATTTTTTATATTTATTAGCTTATTTTTAGCCTTTCAAAAGCTGAAAAAACGGGGTAAAAATGGTAAAGCTGTGTTCTCTCTTATTTGTGTAGATTCACAGATCTGTCCTGAGCTGTACATTTCCTACATTTTTAGATGCACATGACAGTGGTATAAATGCTGTATCAACAATGACAATCTTTGAAGTCCATCCTTTCTGATCTCAACTCATCTGGAAGAAATAAAAAACATCCACTCAGAAACATTTTAGAGAGCTGATAAAGAGCACATATGTGGCAGTTTTGTGTACCTGGCTCCCAGGTACCAAGTACCTGAAGCAGCAGTCACAGCAAAGCTGTCTGTAGTTTGATGGTAGAGCACTTGCAGGGTAGGAAGAGATCAGGATTACAACCCCCTTAAGAACTAAAATGACTCTCTGGAATAATGCTTTGACTCCAAAATGCAGTTGCTGAAAATGTTTTTAATTTCTCCCCCAGTATGCTTCTAAAAGAGACAAGTGTGGTTTGCCACTTTGAATACAATAACTTTAGAAAGTATTTTTTTGTCTGAATGCCCAGTGGAGAAAGTCACTCGTTTGGGGCTGAAGTGCCTGCTTCTCAAGAGAGAAGCTGTGACCCATCTCATCATCTGTGTTTCCTATTCATTGTCTCTAGGCAAGACACGAAGTGCCTAATTGTCCCCTTGCACTGTCCTGGGAGCCATGGTCCCTAAACACCATCCTGGATCCCACTTTGTGGCTATGAGCTCTGGATTTCTCTCTATAGATGAGTTGTTTTGCTAGATTTAAGCTTCTATTTATTACCAGTGAGTTGTCTTTGTTAAATATTTGTAGCAATCTGGTTCTGGTGAGCACAAAATAATGGACTGCTGTTTCTTATTCAGCTGTTACCAGGAATAGCACATGTATGGTCTTGTTATAACAGCATTTGATTAATTAACTTTATTTTGTATGTGATTAGTTTTAATTTTGTTTGAATTATCACTAAATGTAACTTACCTCCAGTTTTGACCATGAGACCAATGGTCTAGGGCCACATCTAGTGCTGGATGACAGATCTAGGACTATAAATTAATGTGATCAGAAAAGCAAGAATCTCTGCTCTTCTATGTGACTCTTGCTTCTGGCTTTGGTAGCTTGCAAAGTTATTACTGTAGAGCAAAATCTTAAGTGTGCAGTTCTGTTGGAGAGAGACTTAGAAATCTTAAACAGTTATTACAACATGGATTTTCTCTGTCTTTATTATCTGCATAAACCAAAGAAAGTCCTTTTTGTTTTGCAATCAAATGTTTTGTCATTACTAAATCAGCATTTGGACAAAAATATGGAAACAGAGAAGTGAAGTTTGTTTGTTAATCAAGAAGATCCCCTTTAGCAGTCCAGCAATTTGCAGCATCTGGCGTAAATCTCACCAAAGATGTATATTAATATTCTTCATTTTAAAACTGTGAAGTGGGAAGATTTCAAAATGAAAATACTGTTGAGGATATGCTGGATAAAAACATTTCATTATACAGGAAATGTACTTCTGACATGAAACCTGTGCTGGTTTTCAGACTGACTTCAAAAACCAGTGAATCCTCCATGTCATAAAATTTGAGGAGATACATGTAAATTCAGATTTTACTAAACCTCAATCATAAACAACAAAAAAAATTACCTTCTGTCTTACAAACTTTTTTTATAACTATCTTACATTTAGACACTAGAAACGCAACTCAAATATGTGCTTAGACACACACTCTGAGAGACAGCAAGATATTTAGTGGCTATTGTGTTGTTCTGCAATTTTACAGGTTCTCTCCTAAGAGATGACTTAGATGCTTAATGAGAAAAGTACATTCCCTCCACTCCATGTTACAAAGTAGTCTGTCAATTGTATCTAGGTGTTAGTTATTAATAAAGGAATTTCTGCTGGAATGATCTGTATTCCTGTGATTCTGATTATACTCTAGTTCACAGTTTTTTGAACAGAGAATCATAGAATCAGTTAGTTTGGGAAAGATCTTTAAGACCTTTGAGTCCGACCATGATGGAAGCAGTATTTTGTAAGAGCTTCATTATTGAAATATTTTCCCCTGAAGTATGACATCTGCATCCAATACCATATGAAGAAAGTTAAGTCTGTTGATGACAAGATTCCCAGGACCCATGTCATTTTGTAGCATTCATTCCTCTTTCCACTGGAGTGAAGAATTTTCCATCATAAAGTGAAGAAATGAAGGCTCATAAATTTTTGCCTTTACAGCACTCTCATCTGAAAGGGAGAATGCTGGGTTCCAGTATTTTCTTTGAAAATTGTTTATGCATTTTATCTAACAATTTTTTTTTCAAATTAAATGTGTGATGATTTTTTGGGACAAGTACACAGGACTAGCTCTTCCTTATGTGAAGATACAAGGCTGCAAAGCCCAAGTTTCTGCTTCTGTCATGACACAGTGAGTCTTGAATTCTTCAAAAGGAACATTTTTCCCTGGCTGTCTCCCCTGCTTGTCTGGTCAAAAGAATGAGCTCCTTGGATAGGCATGGGCTCAGCCTTTTGAGGCTGTTGTGGGAATCACTTCCCAGTGCTCTGGGCTAGACATCAGACCAAACCTGGAATGCAGAAGGTGGAAGCACCAACACCAGAAGATGGTGCCGTAAAACAGAGAACATCATTCAGTTCTTTTTGAAAATGACTGTGGCTGTATTTCCACCAAGGAAAGTACTAACCCTTATGTTCAAGATAGTGAAGATAACTAATTGCAGGTCATGTTGAGGCCCTTCAAGAATAGCATGGGGTAGGGAATTTTGCTGTTGATTTTGCCAAGAAAGTTCCCTCATCAGCATTTTGATGTTTCAGACCACATGCTGAAGTCATTCAGTCTCCCATGAAGTGTGTAGGGAATCTTAGACATCACTTAGACAGCACAGATTTCTATCCTGCATTGGAACATCAGAAGTTAGATAATGCCTCATTGAGTTTTTTTAACTCCTATGCCCATTCCTGCCTGTAGCTTTTAATGTTTAGTTGATGGAGGAAAGAAATATTTCCCCAGTAACTTAAAAGAGATTTGTCTGCTATAAAAACACACAGGAACATCAGATTAAAAGGTAATCCTAAGAAAAAGCACTCAAAATGGATTATAAGGTAACAAAGTCAACAGAGGCATACACGTCAGTGACAGCTTATGTTTGCTAATGTTGTATGCATGAGCTGGTTAGTCAGAGCTGCTGAATCTGGCATAATACATGAGCACATCAGTTTCAATAAACAGAGAGACAGATTTTATTTCAGCTGTAACACCACATATTGCAAAATCACAAATGCATTTAACCAGGTGGATACATGACAATTCCTTGACAAACATATCATCTCTTTGACATTGGTTTCAAAGGACTAAATTGACTTTGGCTGTAGTCCTGCCTGCTGTGTTATTGCAGCAATGAAGCTCAACACTGCATTACAGCAGGACTGTAGAGAAAAATAATCTTCAAAAATATAACAAAAGAAAAGCTGATTAATTTTGATCAGCAAGTCAAGAACTGGAATTCATTTACTTCTTACTACTCTTATACCTGTTTAGCTACTTTTCTGGATACTTCACAATCAGTGAAGCAAACTGAAGGCAGTGTCAGAAATCACAGAAAAATTCAGTGGCAGAAAGTACTGATTTTCTGATATCACAGTAACTAAACAATATTTCTACCCCTTAAAACAAACTCAGTGAAAAAAATGGGCAGATCTTATATATTCACACTAACTCTTTGGATAAGCATTATTTCATTTCAACAACACCGATCCCAAACATAAGAATTTTGTCTCACAGACTTGTAGTCTTCATTTGGTGACTCCTTAATACAATAATAAAAGTTTTATGAACTCAAATGACACTATTAAGAGAGGAAAATTAGCCAAAGCCTCTCTGGACTTATTCACAACACTAGAATATTTAGTTCTTATTTCATAAGCTCTGGTTATACACAAAAATGAGCCATTAAAGTGCTGGTCCAGAGCCAAGTTGCCCTAATACATAAAAGTTTAAACTACAAAGCGAGCTGCTGCTGGAAGACATTAGAACTGTATGGGATCTATGTCATTGCTGTGTTCTGGAAGGCACTGAAGAATGATTATGCCCATACTACTGGAACTGATCAACTTTTTCTCCAACAAAGCACACGACAAAGCACATGACGTTGTGGAAGTCATGCCTTCAACAATGCAATATCTTGACTTATAATTTTTATAATGACACTGTGATAAGAACACCTGCCCATGGAAGCCAAACACCTGGATGCAAGCCCTCCAGAGCCAGGGGGCTACTTCAGGGTGAAGTGACAGCAATGTATTCAGCTGGGGACAGTGACAGGGAATAAAAGAGCAGACATCACTAGTGATGGATCACTCTGAATATAAGCATAAAGGTTTAGGAAGTCAGAAGCACTGGAGAGCCTCATCCCATGCCTTGGTATGTTTTTGAAGGGGTATAGTCTCAGCTGTTTTACTACGTGCTGAATTCAATGCTGCCAATGTGAGTGATGCACACTCGTGGCATGGCTGTTGGATTAGCCTTTGCTATTAAAATCAATTTCATGCTTACTTTTTGAAGCTAGAGATTAGGTGTCAAAATGTTCTGCATAGTCAAAATGATGCCAGCCCAGGAAAGCAGAGCAGCAGCATTTTACAAACCCAAAAAATGTCAGTAAGCAGAACATAACATGTCTCAAGATTCTCAATCATACTACAACTAAACAAGGATTTTATAGGGACTGCTCCCCTGGAGCCACAGACCTAAATTCATCCCAGGTGGCAATTTTGGCACATAAACACTGGGTTGGGGTTTGCTTTTTTTTGTTCTGGCTCTATGTTTCTTTCTCTCATAACAATCCTGACAAACAATCTATTTGTCTGTGACCTCCACCCTGGATTACGATAACTCACGATGTGGTTGAAGCTGAACATGTGGGTAAAGTACAGGCTCCAGATGTGACTGCTCATCTTTTCCAATGCTCACATCATTACAGAATAACAGACCTGCAATTAAGGCTCTCCACAAGTTTCCAAGTAGTTTCTAAAACAGACCCAATAAAGAACTGAGGCATTTTAGGTTGTTCATCCACATGATTTAATAGGTACCCTGTTTCACTGCATGGGGAGAATCAAGAGCCTTGAATCAAGAGCCAACTGTCTGCAAACCAGACAGTCCAGATGCTGAGAAGCCTAGGATGCACTGTGCACACAGGCATAAAAATGGACACTATCTGTCCAGTTCCTTACTTGGCTGATAATTGAAGGCCTCACCACCACCTTCAAGAAAAAGAACGCTGCCATCTGTTGCAGAGGCACTGACATTCTTTTCTTGGGATTTTTCGGGGCTTAGGAATTTTTAATTCCATTCTACCCAGTGGCACAAATTCATCCAGATTTATGAGAAAGTGTGTCCTTTTTCAGTTCATAATCACAGGATTAGCTGAGCTGGAAGGGACCCACGAGGATCACTGAGTCCAGCTCCTGGACCCTGCACAGGACAATCCCCAAGAGTCACACCATGTACCTGAGAGCATTGTCCAAACACTTCTCAAACTCTGTCAGGCTGGTGCTGTGACCACTGCCCTGGGGAGCTGTTCCAGTGCCCAGCCACCCTCAGGGTGAAGAACACTTCTGTAATATCCAACCTAAAGCTCCCCAATACAACTTCAGACCATTCCCTCGGGTCCTGTCATGGGTGTGTATTTAATCTCCCCAGGCTGAGCAGCAAGTTCAGTCTCACTTCAGTTGTTTAGTCTCACATTCAGGTTTGCATCACAACTGCTTTTTTTCCAAGGGCTGACTTCACTTTCAGTCTTTGAGAAGCTCAATATTGTTTATGTTAATTAAACATGCTTGCTCAGAGGGTCTTGGGTGGAACAAAATTCATCAGGACCTACATGAAAACTGCATAGTTCACCTCAAAATGAGCCAATTCTGTACCTACAGAGAAAACTAAACAGGAAAAATTATTATTAAATAGGAAAGTATTACAGAAAGGTTAGTCACCTTCAGGGGTAAATGACACATAAATTAGGGAGTTTTTAAGATGTCAATTCTGGCACCACTTTTAGGCTTAACTGTACTGCTGTAGTTTCCTTACCTCTTCATTGGGTCTAATCCATTACAGAATTTTTAAGACTGTGAATAGTTCAAGACCTGGTTTTATTTAAGTTCATGTTTTGATATATGAGCTATAGCGGCTGCTAAATAGCAAAGTCCCAGCTGAAACATGAGGAAAAAGAGGAAAGAGTTTTTTGTGGTGATCCAACCATGCATCCAGGGCAGGTCAAGAAAATCAGGATGTTCATACTTTCAGGAGTACTTGAAAGTCTTCTTACTAGACTCTGCAGGAAAGATTTAGTATTTTGGAATGATAAGCAAGATATTTCTTGCCTTGCCTGAACACATTTCTTTTTTTATCCTTTGACTTATACCAGGAGAAGAGTGAAACAAAGTAGCTTATATTAATTTTGACTATCATTACAACATAAACAGAATAGGGGTATTATATCAAATTTACAGCTTTGTGTTGCCTGGAATGCAAAGACTGACTTTCTTAAATGATGCCAATTCTAAATTACACAACTGGCTAAACGATCTCAGAAAAATTCACTTTGGGATTTCAAAGGCAAACCATGACTCAGCTGTGACTTGGCAGACTTGAGTTGCAGGCAAAAAATTATTCAGCTTTTTTTATGTGTTATCTTCCACTTTCTTTCATCTTACTTTTTGAAAAGATTTCACATTTTTGAGGAAAACTGGGAATATGGATGAAGACCACAGTCCAGGGTTTTGGATTTTCATGTCAACAGGCCATGTTCAGAAAAAATATAGATCAAAGTTAAGTACACAGAGAAGTACAGACAGGTCCTACACAACCAACCAGTAAGAGTATTGAAGTTTCAGGATGAAAAACATGACAGTACTTTCATGGCACGCTTGAACATTTATATATAGGATAAGGCTCTTTGAATTTGTCTATTTGTTCATCATTGATCTAATCTATTGATTATTGAAGAGTGCAGTTCATTGGTATCTTGTTGAACTAAGGCGTTTAAAAGAACAGTATCATTATCAGTAGAGCACAAAAAAAAATTCTAAGTGGTCTCCTTTGTGTAAGCTAGTCCAGCAAAATACTATTATCCTAAAAACCTGTGATTTCTGAATGAGAATATCAATTCATAGACTACAGAATGAAAAATCTAATTTTTTGATGAAAGCTTGGATGAAATCCAAAATCTAATTTTCTGATGAAAGCAAATGTAGCCCCTTCTACACCAGTATGAACCTGAATGATGTTGAAAACCTCGCCAATTTTTATTTGCTTCATATAATTAGGTTTTAATAAGTTGACCAAAAAATGCAAGTACAACAAATTTAACATATGTAACAAATAAGGAAATTTGCTGGAGGATTGGAAGGATCTGGCAGAGTGCCATTCACCACAATGTCTTGGAACAAGATAAAGTCATCCATAATTTAGCAGATGTTAAACAAAATTTAAAAGAAGTTCTATTGCTAAAAAATTCTTACAGTGAATTCAGATTTGGCTCTGTGTTCATAACACAGTGACTTGACAAATGAAAAGTGAGAACTCAGATAAATAAAATACATAATAGAAAGGCCACACACAGTGTGAGATCTCATAAACTACTGAAAATATTTGTACTGTTCTGAAAGACATCTTGATTGAAATTTAACTATGTACTCACTGTTTCTACCCATTTTTCCTGAAAAGAACTAAAAATTCAATTTAAAAGATGGTAAAATTTCCTGGTGTTTATACATTTTCCTCATCTGTAGAAGTACGAAGTACAGGGTTCTGCACTACAGATTACAAATCAGACAATTCCTGACAAGACAGTACAGTACAATAACTTTTCCCTTTAAAAAAAAAAAAAAATTATATATTGGTTCTATTTTGTTTCTTTGATGCAATGGTTTTCTTGTTTCTTTTCCTAAAGCAAATGTTCTTGGTCAAGGTAAATGGAAAATGTAATCAAGCTGCAAAAAGAAAAATCCATTTAATTGATAGTTCCAGTACTGAAGGAAGCTTGTGCAACTTTTGAGTTTGTTTTCTTGTTCAAAGCTCTGCAGATGAAGTTTCCAGCTTCCATCACGGCACAAAGATTTACTCCCTAAAAAAGAGGTGAAAAATGCTAAGAATAATAAATGCACATGTTGAAAATGCTTAGACTCCAAGTTTTTTGCTCCAGGGTCTAATTTTTGCAAACAAAAGGCCTGATTCATGTTATAGGTCAGTAATGGGGATCAGTAAAGCTACAGTGATTTACAGATAGTTACGGCCTCTAGTCGTTTGAAAGGTTCTACTACTTTGAGAGTGATTTCTTGCCCCATCAGCAGTGGACCAAATACTGGAGTAATATCTTTCAACCTCAAAAGAATCTGGAATAAAGAGCTGGAATCACAACTAGAAGTTAGAAAAAAAATATAGTCTAAATATGTGCTATACTTATTTATTATCCAACACTACAAAACTTCATGCAAAAACCATGAAAAAGGATTCAAAAAGCAAAGACTTGTGTTTTGCTATTGCATAATCTAAAATTTAAAATTAAACAAAACCTAAATAGAATCACCATCAAACCAAACAAAAGAAATAAGCATTTGATGGTGAGATTGTCTCCATGGGATTTGGTACCAACCTTTAGGACAAGACATATTCTTGCTTGGCCACCAGATTTTTAACAGATTAATCAATCTTATCAAGAAGCCTGGGACATGGTATATTTCATATAATCCAACTATTTTTACTTAATTGCTTCCTTTTGCTATGAGTCAGTTGGAAAGGTCAATGAGTATTTTGCCCAAGCAAAGATATACTGAAAGCATAAGTCTAAAGTGCACAACAATGTAAAGTGAAATGCATGATTTCTCCCCCTTATTTCAAATTGTATTGTTTCAAAAGAATAAACACTTCATGAAGAAAAGCTACCCCAAAGTGTGCACAAATAGTTCAAAACAGAGTCCACCTGTACAGTGGACACTTATGACTGAACATTTTCTGATATCTACCCTAACTCCCTAAAAAGAAAATGAGAGCAGATAAATGCTTACAGTGAACTCTGTAAGGAACTAAATATGCTTTAACAGTACCCAGGGAAAGTGCAATTCAGAAACAAGTTCTGCAATCCTTTCATGTCAAGAAGTCCATTGGCCTGTACACCACACGGAACTGCAGCCTACAAACAAGTGATAAGTTCCAATGAGCTCCTCAATAACTCAAATTTTCTGATTTCAGATATCAGGCATTTGGATTTCTTTTTGTGGTAGTTTAAGTGCAAACAACGCACTTCGTAGTTTTGGCTGTTCTTTATATGTTCTCCTTTGAACTTGACTCTCCATGTCCATGTGGAAATTAAACATAAAGTAATGGCAATGCCTGAGGTAGCACGAACTCATTATGCCACATATCCAGATAAATGGGGACCGACAGGAAGACCAAAGAGCACATTTATTGAAGAAGGCAGTAAATGAGTCCTAGGAACACAGAATAATTAACATGCCAACCAGCCAGGGATACTAAATGAGTGCTCTTGAGGTGTGGATGCTCACTGGTAAGGTTCATTAAAGCACAGCTCAGGGCATATAAGCTGCTCTGCCCTCTCCTCCAAGAACAGGACTGATAATAAAAATGACTGTGAAGCCTCCTAGCCTGTAACAGGTTCTGTACAATTTTGGAATATATTAAGTAGATACCTGAGAAATAACAATGTCCTGTGCCTGGGTGCCAAACACCACAGTTTTTTTCAAGTTTGAAGTCAGAAAAATTGACAACAAATTAATAAGCACTATGAGCCAAATCCAAAACTGTGACAAAAGCTGAGCTCTGCTCAGTCTTTCCGCTATTGAGATGATCAGCCTTCTGTAACAATATCTACAGTACTGAATTTTTTGTGGTTACTGAGGCAGAGCAATGACACAAAGCAGCTGACACTAAGTTCCTCATAGCTCCAGGTAGGAAGAAGTGGATTATTCAAATTATGTTAAATACATAAACCATTTCTAGTCTAAATTGCTGATGAAGACAACATCATTCCTGTTATGTGTCAAGCCATATTAAAGCACTGAGTTTGCAAAAACTACTATGGGGTCTGAATATTTTATTGTACAGCACAAGGTATTGTGAGGTACGTATTGTATGTTTCCTATAATTTTTTTTCCCTTAAAATCTTAAGTAGAAAGTAAAAATATCTTACTGTGTTGATCCCAAGACCATTCAACATGTAGATCACATCTTCTGTGGCTACATTTCCAGTAGCACCTTTTGCATAGGGACAACCACCAAGTCCTGCAACAGATGAATCCACCACAGCAACTCCCATCTGAAAAATAACAACACAAAAATGAAGCATCAGCACATTTTCATAAATGGCAGGCCATATGTATTAGTTACCATGCATAAAATACACATTTCTCCACAAATGGATGTGTTCCTTGGAGGAAATTTCTTATGATGGTTTTAGTCCTGACATCTTTATAAGGTAAGACTTTTCAAACACAGGATATGGAACAAAGAACTAATGGCCCATTACATGTGATTTTGGCAGATAAGATGATTGCTGTTTTATAGAAAGAGTTTTAAAGTATTTTCTCTCTTTATCTTTCAACTTGGTGCTTTTAAATAACCTGCATCTAGCACAGAAGGTTTTTATGCAAAAAAACAATCAATGGAAGTTCTTCATACATATATACAGGTTGAGCTTGGGATATTTATAAGAGAATACTTGGTGCATAGTGTTAAGCTTTCTCATTTAAACTAGACTTAAGACTTGAAAAAATACGCAGCTGTGGTAAATTCATAATTGTTTGCTTTTTATTTTCTTCCTGCTGCATTCAAATGTTTTCTCTCTTCTGATCCACTCAGCATATTCATGATAAAAAGTAGTAAACCAGTTACCAGCTCCACCCAGGAGATAATATTACATTTCCTATGGGATAAAGTCTTCCCTAGGAGACTGATAAGGGAGTGGGCAAAAAACTGAGCCAGTGACTTCCATTGATAATTTTAGGGAGCTTTTGCACCCTCTTCTTTCTATGATTTGATTTTTAAAATAAAGCTGAAACTGGAACGCAATAGTTTTCTGTCACAATATGTTAGGTATGTGATCCAGGATACTGGGTCTCCCTTGTCAGAGAAGGCTCTTCAGTCTTCCCCTGCCTCTGGAGGCATTCAGGCTCTACAGATAATCAGAAGCAGGCAAGGGAATTAGGCAGAACAATTATTAGGTCTTCAAAGAACAAGCTCCTCTCTGCCTTAAGAGCACTAGAGGGTTCCCTTCCCCACAGGAATAATTTAGACAGACATACACCAAAACTGTTAAGACAGGTCAGGCAGACTGAAATTCAGGACAGGAGTTCCTGTGCAGAGATAAATTTTCAAAACCCTGTCTGGGTACAGAGAGATTCAGAGGTTAAGCCATGCTTTTTACCTACAAATGCAGGTCAGGAAGTTTGGTTTAGAGGTCTGACTGCACAGATTGCTGATCCCCCTTCTGAGGAACCTCCTGCCCCTGCAGGCTGCTCTGGGAGACTGAGCTTCTCCTTCCCAGACATGCATACATCTAGCTCGCAAGGTCGGCAAGTGATACATCCTGCACGTTGCAGTTGCTAAGTCTCATTTCCAAATATACCTAGTATTGTTTTTTTAGTTCTGAAATAAACTACCCTAATGTGGTTGTTTTTTTTGTTGTTGTTTTCTTTTTTTGTTTGGTTTTTTTTTAGGGGTTTTTTGTACTTGTTTCTAGTTTTAACTAGTTTTATCATTGGCCTTACAGACTGAACTTCCAACATCTCTGGAGATCAATAATAAAGGAAGTGTTTTCCCAGGTCCTATTCTTGGACAGAGAATATTATCTTGATCTAGGTAGCTGCTCAAAGCCTGTAATAAAGACCTCAAAGGAGATGAGGTGCACAACTGTGACAGGCAAGAGAGTACTATTGAATATTGCTCACATAATAAGAGTCTCTAAAAAGAGATACTGTACTTCAAAGCACAATAATTTGCGACTTATGGAGAGAATCACCAAAATGCACGTTTCATATTTCAGTCACTTGTCACACTCTTTGTTTGTGTAGGCCACCAGTCAGAAAATGTGCTATATGACACACCTGTGTCCAGTACACAGAGGATAGGCATTCACAACAGCTGGAAATTCTGTCTCTTTTTGCACAAGCTGCTAAGATTCATACATTTACTGTAGAACTCATTGGCCCAAGCTCCACAGTGGCAGCTCTCAGCTCGCAAGTGTCCATGCAGACACACACACAAGGCTTCTTACTGGAAAGATTTAGGGTATGGTGGAGGTCTGCAGAAAAGGGTGTCTAACAGGTGGATGTACAGGTTGACACAAGCATGATCCCACTACTGTGCCTGCTCTCTCAGTTTGATTTTAAGATTTCCGTCAGAAATTATTGTTTCAGAGAGGAAAAGATAAAAGAAAGTGTCTTTCATGGAGGTTTTCCCAATCTGTCATAACTGCTAGAGCATTCTTCTTCATGCACTCATTTGCAATAACTTTTACATGGGGATAAAACTATAGGCAAATAATGTGGTGAGGTAAATCAATGCTGTTAAATTCACAAGGAATATCAGCAAACTCAAACAGCTTCAGTAGCAAATAAACAGTCACTTTCTAATCCCAAAAAAATATCTCAATAAATTCTTGTCCTTTTGCACAAACAGGAAAAAAGTACCAACTAAATAGTATTTGGTAAAAAACAGCCAAAAATGTCAGTAGTCTGCTCCAGTCCTTCACAGGTCACTCACTGTAAGCAAAACCAAAAACAATATCCTCCAGCATTAAAAGGGCATGTTTTCTAAAGACATTGAATTGACACATATTAATTCTTGATATCTTGATTATTCTTGTACAAACACTAGTGATGGCACTGTAATTCTGAATTTGCAGTGCAAATCTCGCAGCAGTGGGGTACAGGTGGCTTATAATTGTTTGTTGAAAGTGTTGGTGACTACAGGGGTGACTACAGGATATCACAGCGACTTGAAGGTAATATGAAACACCTATCTGTGTCTAGCCACACAATTGCATTCTGAGGCAGCCTTGTCTGAGTTATTCAAAGCATCCTCACTCGAAGCTGGAATAAGCTCAGACAATTTATCTTACTGTAGATGCAAGAGCATATAAAAACCTGATGCCTTCTGCTGACTAAGCTGTGGGAGCAGTAATTTCCACATGACAGACAGTGACAATTGCTCTGTCTTCTAAATCATAGACTATTTTGGCTAAATATAAAAAAGGAGAAGGTCTAATAGCACCTTTACATTGGTAGCATCCTTGTGGGGATGGCTTTAACCCTAGTACAGGACACTTAATCCATTACTTCCCAGAAACAGTGCATAAACACAAAGTCTCTAAAATTCTATCAGTATCTCTATCAGGATATATTTGCTGTTTGACCATTAAGCCACTGGTAGACAAGGTCGAAACATGGCATATATAATACAGCAACCCTGATTGACCTCCAAATCTGACAGTTGTTCAAATCAGTGGTCTTAATATGCAGTGAGCCGGTGTCTCTCCTTTAAGATAATGTCTTTTAAAGTTCTCTTCACAATGCTTTTGAAAGGATATCTACTGCAATGTACTACTATTTCAGCAACAGGGTCAGCTGCATCTGTCTGCTCTTGCATGTTGTACAGACAGTTATAATGTGTTTGCTGACTCAAGTGCAGAATCACTCCAGTTCATCTTCAGTGTGGCCCCATTCAAAAAAAAATCCTTAAATAATCCATACTCTAAGCTCCAATCTAGCAGTGCTAAAAACAGATGTTGGAAAACATCCCTCAGCAGTGCTACTAACTAATTTGGAGGTTGATATTACAGCCCAGCCTGTCCAAGCACAGAGTCTGAAATAGCACCTTGTAAATAACTCCTCTGCACCTTTGAGCAGCTATGAAGCTGTTTTGCTTTTGCAGCCATTAAAAGCACAAGGAGCTCTAAAGTTAAACCTAAAAATGACAAAATATGTAAAACAAGGTGTTTTCCTTCATCACATCTTCCATATTTGTCAGACTTTTACAGGAGATAATGAGTTTCAATCCTTTTAGCAATCCAAGCTTGCAAAAAATTCACTGCCAATATGACATTTAAAAAGTCCACAGTCTCACTGTCACGTCCTGACAGGCACTAAATTGTGCTGACACTCATGAGAAGTTGTACTGCAGCTATTTCATAGGATATGTCCTAAATGAGCACTCACTGAGCTGCTTCCACGTGGACATGCGTGGGGGTGAACAATGGCTTGGCTTCCAGGACAACTACAGTACTTCAATATTTTTTGACACTTTTTGACAATCACAAAATTCCTGACAGTGGTTCCTGAACACCTTCCAAACTTTAGCTTTGGCTAGCTTTAGCTTACTCTCTAGAGAAGGCAGAGGATTTTTTTGCTCCTGTCCCATGCTAACTTCCTAATTCCCCAATGAGAAAGCAAGGAATTAAATTCATCACCTTTGTCAAACAGCCAATTTTAACAGGAAACCATTATTGCCAGTGAATAATAAATGTTTCATGTTTCTCAGTTTGCTTTACTAGCTCCCCATAACTTCTTGTTGGGACAGTCAGTCTCCTTCCTCACTGATCTTTAAACCTGGTTTGTCTGGCAGAAGTTTAACTTTGTTTCTCTCTTAAAAATGGCAAGGTCAGCATCAGCAACTCCAGGAAAGTATGTGGTATAAATCAGAAGCTATAAATCAGATCTTTCATAAATTAGGCTTCTTCTAAATGATGAGATTTTGAAAGCATAATATCAAGGACACAAAGTATGGATTAAAGAGGAAAAGATTTGTGCCACAATGGGGCCACGGCACTGTGAAGTTCAGTGCCCAGTGCCTTAAAGACAGGGGCATGTAGATACTGCAAAGGGTGGCTGCATTCGTTCAGCTTTTGTTCAAGGAAGGGAGCAGGCAGGGAGGAAGAAGTAAGGTATGTCAGGTCAAAGGCTGCCCACACAAAAGGCAGTACAAGACTAATGCTATTTAATCCTGCAGCCCAGTCAGTGCCTAGCTGGCACTCTTGGAGTAGCGTGCTTCTGCCATGTTACTGCCATGTCTCTCTGGCACCAGCCTGCTACCCACCACTGCAGGGCATGCCACTGGCAGAAACACCCTCTCCTGCAGAGAGACAGAGAATTAGCCAGACACAGAAATGACCATGCCAGCAATGCTTTGTAAGGTTCAGTCAGTACAAAGACCCTTGCCTGATTTACATTGGCAAATTGTCTAAAATCAAAGCTTGCCGTTCTCCTGTATTTCAATATAATAAATGTATGCAAATAAATATTATTTTGGTATTCAATAAAT